AGGGACACCATTTCTATCCCCTGGCCTTTTATGGACCTAACCTCCATGAAATTATCTAGCTTCTCTTTAAACTCTGTTATAGTCCTAGCCTTCACAGCCTCCTCTGGCAAGGAGTTCCACAGGTTGACTACACGCTGTGTGAAGAAGAACTTTCTTTTATTAGTTTTAAATCTGCTACCCATTAATTTCATTTGGTGTCCTCTAGAGCTTCTTTTATGGGAACTAATAAATAACTTTTCTTTATCCGCCCTCTCCACACCACTCATGATTTTATATACCTCTATCATATCCCCCCTCAGTCTTCTCTTTTCTAAACTTAAAAGTCCCAGTTGCTTTAACCTCTCCTCATATGGGACCTGTTCCAAACCCCTAATCATTTTAGTTGCCCTTTTCAAACCCTTTCCAAGGCCAAAATATCTTTTTTGAGGTGAGGAGACCACTTCTGTTCACAGTATTCAAGATGTGGGCGTACCATAGTTTTATTCAGGGACTGTAAGATATTCTGTGTCTTATTTTCTATCCCTTTCTTAATAATTCCTAGCATCCTATTTTGCCTTTAGACTTGTTCTTTGCTGAAGCTACTGTCTTTCACATAAGACCAGAGATCCAGGTTCTAGCTGAGACTATCATTAAGTTCTCACGGAACTATACTAAAAAAGCAAGACAGCCTTCGTTTTCTGGCCATTTGTTTTCCTTCTGTCAATCTCACACAATAAAGGTTTCAAAGTCTGGGCACTAAGCAGGAAGTCGTCCATTGTGCTTCTTACAACATATACTTTTGATAAGCTAAGTTGATATTTCTATTCATCATCCTTTTTTATTTTTGATACATGTTCTTTGGGATTGAGCCAGTCATAAAACAGTTAAGATCATCCTTAAGCTGAGACTGAAAAGAAAATCTGTGCTAAACTGACTCAATACCTGTCATAGGCTGGCTGGTCTATTAAGGCAAATGGGGCTTAACCTCACTTGTGGCCTACCAGTTTAGCCTCAGCTAACAGTGGAGAACAACTTATAGCTAATTAGTGATCTCAGATTAATAGAATTGTACAGGACTGCTCAAATAGAATTCAAATAGCTGGGAATTCAGTCTGGAGAGAGAGACTGCAGAGGAGGGAGGACAATCCCACAGGGAAATCCCAGCAATTTGGGGCTGACTGTGAATAGTGAACTGAGGGCTTGTCTCTACTTACTGGAAGATTGATGCTGTGAAAATCAATCTCCGGGTGCTTGCTTTAGTAAGGCTATTTGTTCGTCTAGTAAGGGCCTGCTAAATCGACCACTTATAGCGCCCCGGTCAATTCCGATGCTCAACCGGGTTGTGAAGAGTAAGGGAAATTCCTCCTCTAGAGTTGAACGCTGCAGAAATTCATCCTAAGGTACGTGGATTCCAGCTATGATGTTCATGGAGCTGGAGTTGTGTATCTCAGGTTGACTTGCTCTCTTAGTGTAGACCTGGCCTGAGCCACAGGAGTAAGTGGTGAATCTCTGGAACTAGGAGCTAGTTCTGGGGCTCGTGTTTTGGAAGGGAAGAAAGAATAGAAGAGATCCATAAGGAACAGAGTAGGTGCCTATTACTGAGTCCTGATATAGGGGCTATAAGTAACTGAGAGATCCCTAAGTGAAGCTGTTGGTATCCCTGAGGTAGGGAAGCGGTGGAGGGAATCTGGCTATGGAGGAATCAAGACAAAAGAAAAGTTCTGCAGGATTTCAGATGAGGGACCAAGAAGCAGAGGACTTCAGTTCTGAAAGGGGCAGAAGAACTATAAATGTGAGCATTTGTTTTGAACTTTCCGTTGGACCTCTTTTTACCCCAGAAGAGAAGTGAACTTTTATGTGATCTACTAGGAGGTCCAGATTATAGAAGACCCAGAGAGACAAGCCATTACAGAACTGAGGGAATAACCACAAAGGGGCAAGATGTCTGAAACTAGGGCTCAAGCAACACAGCACTGTCAGACAAGATACTCATTCACTGTAAACCACACTAGTGCTAAGTGCAGTCATTGTTTTGAAATGGCATTTCTGTAAAGTGCAACAATATAAGTGCTTTAGAGAAACAAATAAATTTGCATTCATGGCAAGCAAAGCAATATGGGATATGGTCTGCACCCAATCACAGTCTCACAAGCTCACATAATCTCTCCAAATTCTTAGTTAATATCTATCTTTGGCTATAGTTATACTCAGGACTTGACAAACTGCAGCGAAATCTACTCGCCAGTCCCGTACTGCGCATGAGCCAGACCCGCATTGCGCATGCCGCTGGTGAACGGGGAGACGGGCTGAAATCTACTCACCATAGGTGAGTAGAGTCACTGATTTGTCAAGCCCTGGTTATACTACAGACCTTACAGTGGCACAGCGGTAGGGATGCAGATGTGCTGCAGTAAGATTTCTCTTGTCATCACTCTATGCTAACAGGAGAGAACTCTCCCATCAACATAATTAAACTGCCGCCAATGAGTAGCAGAAGCTATGTCAGCATGAGAAGATGACAAAATGATGTGCACACTGTCACTTATGTCTGCAAAAATTATGTCACTTGGTGATGTGTGTTCTTTTTTCCCCACATCCAAAGTGATAGAGGCAGCAAGGGATGGGGGAAGGGATTAGTCAACTAGTGTGTCAACTAGTCAATCACATTGCTACTATAGTGGCTACTGCTATAGCTAACTAACCACACTCAACCAGTCAAATAGCCACACTGTTCAAGCCAAATAGCCATATGTGGCTAGTATGTTGGACATCACAAGTCTAAAACATTGATTCACTCAAAGAAGAAAACTGATTTTGTTTTAAGCTTGTGCAATGACTTGTACACCAAACAAATTTCTCTCCCTCCTCTACTGTCAATGCTATTAAATACCAACATCACTTAGAAATTTTGCTGCAAAAGTTTCCAGCAATTCGGTGCTAGATGTAGTACTTAGGGTTTCCTCAGACAGAAATAATTACGATATTCTCTGATGTTCTGGCTAAAATTGGCAGTCAGCACGTTATAAAGAAGTGAAATGGACTCATTTTATCTAGTATATCCACCAATAGCAAAGCAAGTGTTATGCAGATGGATCATTGTTCAACAGTTTAAATAAAATCTTCCTTGTAGAAATGAGGAGGCAGGTGCTAAATAAGCCTTGGAAATTAAAGACAGGCAAAAGAGGTAAGCACAACTTTAAACATCATCCAGAACCATGTGTAGTAATGAGGGGGTCTTCCAGGAAAGTAAAAAGTAATAAAACTGCTCTACAGACACTTATATTGGTTTAGATTATTACAGTAGAAAAAGGAAAACAATCTACACTAATATGTGGCACCTTTACACCAATGTAACTGCATTCATACTAGGGCTTGTGCAGGTATAATTATTTTAGTTTTAAAGCTTAAAAAACAAAATCACACCTCGATAGTTATACTAGTACAAAAAGTGTATATAAACTAGACCTTTTATCTACTTCTCTGTTGCCCTACCCCTTGTCTAGTTTTTATTTTTAGAAAAAAATACTAGTGCAAAGTGAATTAGAAGTAGGTATATAATGATCCTATGCTGCTCCATTAGTATTTTACACCACTTTGTGTTGGTGTAAATAACTATATAAGGTGCAGAACAGCAAAGAAACATCACGCTCAGCAGGTCTGCAGATGACGCAAAGCAAGGGGGAGAGGTAGATATGTTGGAGGGTAGGGATAGGGTCCAGAGTGACGTGGACATACTGGAGGATTGGCCCAGGAGAAATCTGGTGAGGTTCAACAAGGACAAGTGCAGAGTCCAGTACTTGGGTGGAAGAATCTCAAATACTGCTACAGGCTGGAGACCGACTGGCTAAACAGTAGTTTGGCAAATAAAGACCTGGGGATTACAGTGGATGAAAAGCTGGGTATAAGTAAACAGTGTGCCCTTTTCACCAAGAAGGCTACTGGCATATTGGGATGTATTAGTAGGAGCATTGCCACAAGATCTGGAGAAATGATTATTCCCTTTTATTTGGCATTGGTGAGGCAACTTCTGGAGTACTGTGTACAATTCTGGGCCCTCCATTACAGAAAGGATGTGGACGCATTGAAGAAAGTCCAGCAAAGGACAACAAAAATGATTAGGGTGCTGGAGCACATGACTTATGAAGAGAGGCTGAGGGATTTGAGTTTATATAGTCTACAGAAGAGTAAAGGGGGGATGTGATAGCAGCCTTCAACTACCTGAAGGGAGTTTTCAATAAGGATGGAGAAAGGCTGTTCTCAGTGGTGACAGGTGACATAACAAGGAGCAATGGTCTCAAGTTGCAGTGGGGGAGGTCTAGGCTGAATATTAGGAAAAATGATGTCACTAGGAGGGAGGTGAAGCTCTGGAAAGGGTTACCTACCAAGGTGGTGGAATCTACATCCCTAGAGTTTAAGTCCTGGCTTGACAAAGCCCTGACTGGGATGATTTAGTTGAGATTGGTCCTGCTTTTAGGAGGGGATTGGACTCGATGACCCCGAGGTCTCTTCCAACCCTGGTTCTATGATGAAGTCTCAAAGTGGTTGCCTTCACTGGGGAGATTAATTTAATCCTCCCCTCACATCTAAAAGATCACCTATGTAAACCCATCTGCTCAGACTTGCAGAAATAACAAGAAGTTTGCCTTAATCAGCTTTGACATTTTAAATTATACAGCTTCTTTTTTGACTTACAGTTTTCTCTTCCACATTCCAAAACACAACAGACCCTTCCCTGTGTTAATGGAACATAACAATGCATTAGAATGGAGGATAAGATTATACTTTTTTGTATTTAAAAGTGCTTTAACGATAGTCATTTTGTCATGCACTGCCTCTCCACAAAGTGAATCAATAAAATTTACAATGCTTAGTCTTTGTATGAGCCCCTTAATAAATGCTGTTTATCATGCTTTAATTTTTGTTTAATACAAAAAAGAAAAACACGTGCAATTTTAAAATCAGAATTATTTAAATTCTTAAGTGTTATGTGGGCACATGGTGTTTCCTTACTCTCCAGAAGAAAACTCTCATTTTTTAAAAATATAATTAAAATACGTTACAGATATGTCAGTTTTCTGCAATAGCCTGACCACTCTAAATCAATAAGGCTTAATTTATTAAATTACATTTCAGTATAAGTTCATTATATTAAAATGAAAATGTATAGTATTAATGGGACATTGCACATTATGTCTCTAGGGGGAGGCATGATTCTTGTAAACTCTGGAAACTGTTATTCATGTCAAAGGACTATTTGAAATGATGGACTAGACAAGAATGAATTTTAAAGTTGTGGGTTTCCCAGGAAATCTCCAGGGGAAGGTGTATGTAAGTGTACCCCTCCAGTTGTGCAATTCCTCAGCCTTTTGAAGCTTCATGCTAAAAAGGGGATTTTTGTCTGCTGATCACCTGTTACATGAGGCTTAATAATGAGCAGCTGTGAACTTTATGTAACCACAGAAAATCCCTTAGATGGCATTAGGACAAGGGCGGGCAAAGGGGTCTTCTCAGGCTGGATCCGGCCTATGTCCACCCTGCTCCTCCCCTGCCCCCAGGCCAATTGAGACCTGGGGATGGGGGGAGTGTGCGAAGTCTCCTTCCCCAGCCAATGGTTACATGAGGCTTAATAATGAGCAGCTGTGAACTTTATGTAACCACAGAAAATCCCTTAGATGGCATTAGGACAAGGGCGGGCAAAGGGGTCTTCTCAGGCTGGATCCGGCCTATGTCCACCCTGCTCCTCCCCTGCCCCCAGGCCAATTGAGACCTGGGGATGGGGGGAGTGTGCGAAGTCTCCTTCCCCAGCCAATGGTACACGGCTTTTAAAAAATGCTGGCTGTTTTAAAACAGCCAGTGGCTCTCTCTAGCTGCCATGCACCTCTGGCAGGGTGGGGGCAGGGAGTGAAATACTTTGCACACTCCCCTGCCCCCAGGCCCTAATAGGCCTAGGGGTAGGGGGAGCATGTGAGGTCTCCTCCCATTGCGGTGCCGAGAGGGAACTGCCAGCTATTTTAAAACAGCTGACAATTCTTTCTAGGCAGATAGGGGGAGGACTTCACGCACTTCCTCACCCCTAGGCCAATCAGTGTTGGGGGGGGGAAGGGAGCAAGAGAAGTCTCCTGGCCCCGCCCCTTCCACTTAAGGTCCCACCCCTTCCAGGGTGGCTCTGGGGCACTTCTGAAACTTATGAAGTGGCCCCCTTTTAAAAATTATTACCCACCCCTGCATTAGGAGATGGCTGGGAAATCACCTGCCAGAGCCCTTGCTGGAGTTGGGATCTGTGGAAAATTTATTCGCATGTGTATGGATTTATAGCCTCTGAGGAGAAGGCAAAACAGGTCTGCTGAAGCAGTCTGACTTTCACAGCACAGAAAGATGTGGGGCTCTACCAAAAAGAGGTGACTGCTTGAGGAGCCTGAAGTCTAGAATGTCCCCTTCCCAGACCATAAGGAGGAAATACAGGTGCAGCTGCCCTGAACTGTGACAAGTAGCTTGATACAGCCACATGTATCATATGTGGCAGGCTTGGTTTGCAACTTACCTGAAGAAAAATATCATCCCAGGATCATATTCTTTTGCAGCATTTTCTGTGCCAATAACCAAAACATTTGCTGCATCTAGTTTAAAAATAAATGGAAGGGAATAACATTTTAGAAAGCAGAACAGTTGCTGTATTTTAAACCTGTTAAAACACATACAACTAACTCCAGTTGATCAGTTTCTATCTGGGAACAATACTTCCAAAATAAAAGTAATATTTTTGAAATACAAATATTTTCCAAGAGGGAATATGTGAAGCAATTGCAATATATAAAATTGTCTGTGTTCTCAAAGATGCACATTCATTCCCATTTTTTGATTCTGGATTCCACTAGTCCATTCCCTTTAAAAATGTTAGTGAAACGCAGTACTTATGAAAAATGTAGGATAAAAGATGGAACTGATTGCAGGTGACAACAAATGAAAAACAGGGAGTGAGGTCAGAAGTGTAAACAAGGAACTAGATGGGGATATCAGAGTACACTGGACAGTATACACTGCTCTAGAGTCAGTGGATGCCACCCAGAGGAACTCTGATGTGTGAGACCAGTAAGGAACAATGGCATGCCCCACAGTTACAGACAACCTTCCTGTTGAGCTTGTCAGCCCCGAAGACTGAAATCCTTTTTTCATATAGCAGGCACAGTGAATTCCAGCTCTACACTAGTTTTGCTTTTATAGTTATGTTGGTTAGGAGTGCGAAAAATCATCTCCTTTAACAGATATAGCTATGCCACCAAAAGTCCTACTGTTGGTACAGTTCTACCAGCACTGTGTGTGGTTTTGATCGTATGCTTTATTTCATTCGGGGAATTGGGATAAGCCAGGATGAGTGCTAGTGTAGCTATATCAACAAACATTTATAGTGCAGAAATCCTTCAGACTGTAGCCAAATGTGCATTACCATTAAAGTGGAAGAATCACTTCCAAGGGCTGGGGCGAAGTGTTTAAATCACTGTCTATCCCCATTTTATTTGCCTTACAGCAAACTTACTTGACAAACAAGTGTGATGTGGATTCATTTACATTAGAAACTGAATTGACATCATTAGTCACTTGACATAGGTCACTTAAAAGTAACGACTTAACAGACTTGAGGAAGTTGTAGCAATTGATAAGTCTCTCAAGTTCTAAGCAAAACTTACAATATCAGTGTTCTTTGATGGAAGAGGGTACTTGTCAGCATATCCCTTCGTTTTCCCACTTTAATATCACAGCCCAGTTATTTCATCTGCATTTGTTAAACTTTCCATTATGGTTACAATACATTTGACATTGCCAAATTCATCCTGTCAAGTAATATAGTATAAGAGGGCACAAATCCAATTGCCTTTAATGGGAGTTTTGTCCATTTATCCCATGCCAGAATTCAGTCTAGTGAAGTGATCAGAGAACTTGTATGAACAAACAATGAGCGAGAAAAGATGAGGAACCGTTACAAAGCATTTCAACAATCTAGTTAGGCTAAGCTGTAGTTTCCCATTTCTATATCCCATCACAAATTTGTTTTCCCCGTGTCTGTAGTCTTTTAGGAAAATCTGTGGTAATCTGTTACTATACTATTTCTATACAATGAGCCTGGATTTGTCAAGAACAAGTCTTGTCAAACCAACTTAATAGCTTTCTTTGACAGGGTAATAAAACTTGTGGATAGGAGAAAAACAGTGTATGTAGTATATCTTGACTTTAGTAAGGCTGTTGATACTTCCACATAACATTCTCATAAACAAGTTAGGAATAATATAACCTAGATGAAGCTACTATAAAGCAGGTGTATAACTGGTTGGAGAACGGCTTCCAGAGAGTAATTAGCAGTGGTTCACAGTCAAGCTAGAAGGCATATCAAGTGGGGTCCCATAGGACTGGTCGTAAGTCTGATTCTGTTCCATATTTTTATCAATGATGGCATAGAGTAGCAGTTCTCAAGCCAGGGTCTGGTACCCTGGGGGGCCACAAGCAGGTTTCAAGGAGTCCACTAAAATAAACCAGAGAGCACAGTCAGTGTTAGAATCACTGGGACCCAGAGCAGAAAGCTGAATCCCAAGTCCCACTGCTTGTGGCTAAAGCCAAAACCCAAGCTCCTCCTCCCCAGGCTGAAGCCGACACCTGAGAAATTTAGCTCTGCAGGCCCTTTATGGCTTGAGGTACTTGTTACCAAAGCTGTCCCCGGCTTTTAGTTTACTAAAACACAGTTATTGTGGTATGGGTGGGATGTAGAATTTTTACAGAATGTTAGATGGGTCTCAGAAGGAAAAAGATTGAGAACCTTTCTGACCAAGGGCCACTTCAAAAATTTTGAAGGAGTGGACGGGGCAAGACCAGGATACTTCCATGCTTCCCCACCTCCAGACCCTGACTGGTCTGGAGGTGGGAGGGTGTGCAAAGTCTTTGCCCTCCTCCTCCCCTCCCCCCCGAAAGAACCGTCAGATGTACTGAACAGCTGGCAATTCCCTCTAGGTACCAGTGCCTCTGGCAGTGGGAGGAGACTTCACATACTCCCCCCTAATGCCCCCAGGTCAATCAGGGCCTGGGGAGAAGGAGCACGTGAAGTTTCTTGCTCCCTGCCTCCACCCTGCAAAGAAACGCCACAGAAGAGTCAACTGCCAGCTAAGCAGCAGGGAAAGCCAGTATTCATTTCAATATAGAAGCATGGCTTCCCTTGTTCTAATACACACAGACCTGCTATAGTGTTTCATTCTTCCGCATTTATCTTTACAGATAAAATAAGTATCTTGTATTTAATCTGTACTCATTTACAGAGTATATAAACAGTCACTGTGTATCCATCTGTAATATGAGTTAATATCACCTTCTTTCATTATTGAGGTGTAGTGGGGCTTAATTCACTACCATTTGTGAAGCACTCTGACACCATGGTGAGCCTGCCTGTTAACAGTATCTTCCATTCCCTTTAACTTCAAACAGGCTGTGTCTACACTGGCAGGTCTTGTGCAAGAACATATGCAAATGAGCAGGGCCTTACAAACCCTGGCGAGAACTACTCGACAGCACCGCATTGCGCATGCGCCAGACTGGCACTGTGCATGCGCGAAGCGCCGGTGAATGGGGCACATGGAGCGACCGACTGAAATCTACTCACCATGGGCGAGTAGATTCAGTTTTGCACGAGGGGCTTTAAAGGAGGCACGGCGATGAATATTGCTGCACCTCATGTGCATACTTAATGAGCCACCATTTTTGCACGAGGGGCTTTTGCGCAAGAAGGAGCAGTCGACACTGCTCCTTCTTTCTCAAAAATCCCCTCTTCTGCAAGAGCCGTTCTGCCGCTTATTTTCAACTGTAATCTTCCCATTTGGTATTTGTTTATTTAGAGGGCAAACAGTCAACAAGTTTTTCTCTCCTCCTACTAATGCACAGCTTGTAGTATTCAGGGGACACTTCTTAAAATTCATAATATAGAGCAAGGCTGAAAAGTTTATCGGACACTCAAAGGCCAATACAAATGAGGAAGAGTGTCAATGACCAGGGAATTTGCCCTGATAAATCTAGCCAGTGGCAAGGAAAGGGAAATTGCTGAGATGCTAACCAAGCCATTGTCTGGGAATGTTGTTCTGGGCTTTTAAGATAAACCTCAGTGTAGAAGGTGCTCAAAATATAGGAAGCCTCTAAACCAGGGGTCAGCAACCTTTTCAAACTAAAGAGCCAAACTACATCAAAATTCAGAACAAATGGTCACCAAAGAGCCAGTAGGTGGTGTATGTGACAGGAAGTTCTTTCCAAGTTTGCAGAATCAGATTATCAACATGCTCCTTTTCTTCATGTCAGCCCATTTGTGCATTTTTGCCAATTCTTCACATTGTCGAGCAAGGCATTCTAAATCAGAATTTAGCTTAACAAATTTTTCTACCCAGATATCCGACTCCTTGAAATCTGCTATTTCCATTTCCAAATTGCTGATTAAGATGTCTGGAGTGACTGTCAAATCTAGTTTTTCTATGGACGTTTTACGTGGATGAATCAAACTTAAAGAGAACACTGTTTTTGCAAAAGTCAACAAAATGAGACTTACATGCCATCAGGAGCTCAGAAACAAACCCAGCAAGCTAATGCAAACAAGGCTGTTATTTGGATTCTCTCTGATACCAATGTTTCACGATTCGTAATCTTTCAAAATGTGCCAATCTGTCTATGTTGATTTCTTTGATGAAGACCATCAATACTGACTCACATCCAAACAGTGCCTGCTGCAGAGTCAGAACTTTTTTTCCTTGCCCTTGTAGCTTAAAGTTCAACTCATTCAAATGACCAGTAACATCGATGAGAGAGTAAAACATGAGCAGCCAGTCAGTCTGAAAGCTCAGGTGTGTGAGACATCCTTCAGATCCAAAAATTACTTAATCTCATTAACGCAAGTGGCAAAATGAGACAAAACTTTGCCACGAGATACCCTGCTTTACTGATGTACAATGTTGGCTGGTTATTTCGAATCTACTTTTTCAAGCAGTGACTGAAACTGATGGTGATTAAGGGCTCAGGCAAGAATCCAACTGACAATGTGAATGATCAGTCCCATTACATTTCCTAGCTCAGTTCCACAAGATTACACACAAAGTGCCTCCTGATGCACAATGTAATGAAAGTTCAAAAATGGGCAGTTCAGCTGTTCTAACAAGAGTAAGGAATCCCCTATATTTGCAGACTATGCTAGGTGCACCACCCATACACACAGACACAAGATTACCCAACTGTATTTCTCTCTCATTTACAAAGTTCATCAGTTTTAAGGATGTCCTTGCCCCTTGTTTGATTTTTCATTGGTAAGATCTCAATCATTTCTTTGTGCACAGGGTTTCCACAAATATGTCCCAGAATACACAACTGATTTATGTCACATATGTCGGTTATCTTGTTTAAAGCAAATGCAAAATAAGTAGCTGTACTCAAATTTTGCATTTGTTCCTTGTCAACTTGATGGGCCATTTTCACAGCTCTGTCATGAACTGTTGTTGCCAATAATGGCATGTCTTGACTTTTCTTGACTATGCCAGCAGGCTATTTTGTCCAATGTTCATTTTTCGCAGCAGCTCCTCGTAGGCTTTTTTTGCATGCATCATCCTCATGGTATTTTGTAGCAAATGCTGCATGTTTTGTCATGAAATTTGCTTGTTTGTTTGAGAACAGTCTCTCACTACAAATGAGACAATGTGGAGATCCAGCCCTACCCCCAATTGCATACAAATCGATTCACTCATTTTGAAAATGTTCATACCCACCATCTTTCTCATATCACTATTTTTACTGCTGAGGGGTTACAATGTTCAGGGCTCAACAAACTATACAATCTACTTGCCAGGGGCGAGTAGATTTCAGCCGCGAGTCCCATTCATTTGCGGGGCGCGCCTGTGCAATGCGGCTCTTGTGCATGTGCAGTACAGGACTGGCGAGAGGTTTTCACCGCCATTTGTCAAGCCTTGACAATGTTCACCATCACGTATGATGATGGAAGGATTCCTTGACCAATAAAATAACACAAGAATATGTATCTGACCCTCAACGAATGGAGAGGCTGGATGGTTGTTAAAATGAACAGTTAAAGGTGAAACAGACCAAAAAAAAAATCGTCCTGACATGAATTACACATTTTAAAAATTTTAAATTAATTTTTCATTTTAATTTAAAATGTATGTATTTTGGGAATGACAAAAGAGCCAGGGGTTGCAGACCACTGCTCTAAATCTTATAGCTGCTAGAAAGCAGCAGCATCCCCTCCTTCCTTCTCTCACCCCAAACATCGCTGTAGCAGGGTGGTGGTGGGATGAGGATATCGCCACTGCATTACTCAGCTTTCCACAAAAGATTTCTTCACTACTCTGTTCCCATTCAGCTAAAACTGCCAAGACTGGTCAGCTTTCATTTGATGAGACTGAGTAAAGTTATGAGTAGCTGTAGAGGAATTAAAGCTATTAGTCTGTACTAGGGATGTGAAAGTTTAACCATTTAACCAGTGGAGGATATCAAAGCATATACAAGCTATAGAGTACATCCGGTATGGGGACTCAGACAATATCATCTTTGCTGTTTGCAGATTATGATGTCCTTGTTTCTTTGATCTTCAATGCACTTAAATGTTTCACTGAGTTTGAAGTGGCTGGGATGAGAATCAGCAACTCAAAATCAGAGATCATAATCTTCTGAAACAAAGTGGACTGTTCTCCCCAGGCAAGGGGAGGGCAGCTACCAGTAGTGAATACATTCAAGAGAAGGGGTCTTGTTCATGAGTGAATGCAAGTGGAAGCATGAGATCAACTGGTAGACTGGTGCAGCAACACCAATGTGGGCACTGTGCTGATTCATGGCGGTAAAGCAGGCCCAGAGTTCCAACAAAGCTTGTGGTTCACAGGCACTCTGTCCTTCTTCTTACCTAAGGTCATGAATTCCAATTATTGACCAAAAGGATGAGGTTTCTCTGCAGGGTGACTAGGCTTACTCTTTGAGAGAGAGTGAAGAACTCGACTATACAAGAGGGCCCTTAGAGTCGCTACTTCTCGAGATCGACAGGTGCCCGTTGAGGTGACTTGGGCACCTGATAAAGATGGGAGGCTTCCACTGGAGGCTTCACTGGGAGGCTTCCACTGGAACTATATAAGGCACATCCCACCGTGCTGAGGCCCCAAGGCCAAATGAGGACACGCTGGAAGGATTATATCCCCCAACTGGCCGGGGAACATGGGAATCTCCCAGGAGCAGATGGAATCTGTTGTGGAGGAAAAGGTGGTCTGGTCTTCCCCACTCTTCATGCTGCCACTGTGACCCTTATCAATAAAAGCAGCATAAAGCAAAAAGGAAGAGAAGGAGAAACAACAGGACAACTTTCCATTTGAAAATTCCTGCAAAAACAGAAATTCTTTTATCAAACATTCAAAATCATTTTTCCAGGGCAATTGATTTCTGGTTTAGAGGAGGTATCCTATTTTCTAACCAGTTCCATTATATCATTTTTGGGAAATCACTAGGTATTTACAACTGCAGAGAATGCTGCTCTGTCAAAGGTTTATTTTGTCTTCAGTTTTTTAAACAGAATTTTGAGAGAGAGCAATTTTGTTCGAAGGTATCAAAATATTCCCCGATATAATGTCAGTGATAAAGTACATATGAAAGTGTAGAAAATTGCTATTACTGTTCTAGACAACTCATCCATCTTTTGTTCCCAAAATAAGGTAAAGCTGTTCAAGATAGGTTTTAAAAATCTACCTCTAGGCAAACTTGTTATTTCAACATATCCATATGAAGTCAGGTCATGGCATAGATTACCAAGATGATATTCATCTGCTGTTGCGAAGGCTGTGCATTGCATCAGATCCTGTGCCAAAGGAATACAAGCTTGGGTTAAAGAAAGGCTGAAGTTACATGTTTACAGATATTTGTTTGGCTGTGGCCAAGTTTGTTATAGGATTTGACATTTGTTTAACTATTAGTTTTTTATGGTGTGCATCATCATCATATTAGACCACCATGAACACCAATGAATTTATTCTTTCCCAAAGAGATAAGTGAAATATAATAATTATCTCTACTTTACAGATGGGAAATGGAGCAACAGATAAAATGATGTGCCTGTGACTGAGCTAGGAACTGAACTCAGGTCTCCTGAATGCCAGTCCAGAACCTTAACAGAAAGGCTACCCTTCCAACTACTTAATTTTGTTCAGGACTTTGTGCTTGCTCTCATTGACGTTGACGATGAAGGCTCAGACTTTTAAGAAACTAACGTAATAGGGCCAGTTCCTGTCCATCCCTTGTCTCACACCGACAGAACCAATATTCTTGAGAGTGCACAGCCTACGCCACATTTGCAACTTCTGGGAAGTAAACTACTCCAAAAGGACGGGGGTGTAGAATTGGCCACTGCTAGGGTCCTAATAAGCTCATGGCCACAAAAACCACCTTAAGGACCATGAAAATTGGTCTTTCCCCATGAAACCTGATCTTGTGTGTGATTTTTACTCTATACTATAGATTTCATGGGGGAGACAACCATTTCTCAAACTGGGGTTCCTAACCCAAAAGGAAGTTACTGGGGAATCACAAGATGGCAGCTGTTGGCCAGGCAACCAGCTCAAGGCGGCATCCCACTAGCAGGAGCACAGAAGTAAGGGTGGCAATACCATACCATGACAACCTTACTTCTGTGCTGCTGCTGGCACAGCTGGGGGGGCCACAGAATATAGCTCTTCACTGAGGAGCCAGCACCACATGCAACACTGTAGAAGTAAGGGTTGCAGCAACATTCCAGGCCATCCTTACTTATGCACTGCTGCTGGCAGCTTTACCTGCAGAACTGGGACCCCAGCCAGCAGCCACTGCGTTCCAGTGGCTCAGCTCCAATGGCAGTGCTGAGAAGGGTAGCAGTACTGTAATCCCCACCGCCAAACTTTTTTTTTAGGTCAGGAAAATTACCATTGCAATGCCATGAAATGCCAGAAGCATGAAATTTGACTTAAAATCCCATGACCATGAAATTGACCAAAATGGTCTGTGAATTTGATGGTGTGCTAGCCATAGTCCTGCCCTGTTTTGCACCAATCAACAGATATGCAGGTTGAACCTCTCTAGTCTGTAACTCTGTGGTCGAGCAACATCCATGGTGCAGCATTTTAGTTAGCTATCTGTCTATTTATGGGTGTGTCCAAGTTTCCTGTGGCCCCATGAAGTTTGTTTATAGGCACCAGACCTGGCTCTGAGTGTTCTGTGCTGTTATTTAGCTCTAATTTACCCGAAGACTGTGTCTACATTGGCAAAATTTTGCGCAAAAGCCTGTCTACACTGGCCGCGAGTTCTCGTGCAAGAACACTGACGTTCTAATGTAAGAAATCAGTGCTGCTTGTGCAAGAACTATGATGCTCCCACTCAGGAATAAGTTCTTGCGCAAGAGGTCAGTGTAGACAGGCAACATGAATTTCTTGTGCAAGAAAGTCTGACGGCTAAAACGGCCATCAGAGCTTTCTTGCGCACGAGAGCATCTACACTGGCATGGATGCTTTTGCGCAAAAGCACATCTCTTGTGCAAAAGCACATGCCAGTGTAGACGCTCTCTTGCGCAAATACTTTAACGCAAGAACTCTTGCGTTAAAGAGTATTTGCGCAAAAACTTGCCAATGTAGATGTAGCCGAAATATCTTCTAAGAGCCCAGTAAGCAGTGGAATTGTTGGTAATGATGCTACACTATACTGACCTCCCCTGATTCAACAAATTCTCTGCTTCTGTACCAGTCAAGTCTCAAGGGTGTTAAGTTAGAGAGGTTTAATCTGTATACAGCTGTTGGGGATGTACTACATTTCATGCTGCAAAGGATTAGTACAGTACAAATGCAAAAAGAGTGTGCTCTCTCTTGTTTCCAGTGCAGGATAGCAGACAACTGCCAGAAAATCTTTCAATTTTCAAAAAACATATGTTAAATACCTAAAATATCATATTGAAACAAACGGCAGGCACAATGTAATTGATGAAACAAGTGTATTACCACACAATTGCAAATGAGACAACAGTACATCAACTGCATAAAGATTCTCTTGATTAATCAACAAGCCACAATAAACTAGTCTACAACCTCCACCTATGTGTACTCTGAAAACTGCCTCTCTTGTTCTTATACTAGTGATGTTTCATATCATGGGGCTCTTGTACATTTCAAAGGCCACAGGGAGCGTGGGGGCCAGAAGGGTCCCACGCTCCTGTGGGGCTTCCACTTTTGAACAGTAAAAGTGAGCCCGGTAGGGGTCTTGGTACACTTGAAAGGCAGAGATACCCCTATAGACTAATCAAATAGTTGATGGAAATCCCATTGACTATTCAATTAGTTAATTACTCTAAATTTAACATCCCTATTGAGAACCATCCTCCTCTAGCACAGTGGAATTCTCTACAATAAGGCTACATCTATATTACAGGGGTTTTGTGCAAAAACCTGTGGAGCGTCCACACCTCAAGTGCATTTTTGAGCAAGTAAATTTACAGTAAATCAAAAGAACAGAGAGGTTTTTGCGGTGTAGATAGTCTTCTTGCTACAAAAAATAACTCCTTTTTGAACAAGAATTCTCGCGCAAAAAGGTGTGTGAGAATAGGCAACAGGGTTTTTTTGTGCAAAAAGAACCAGTTGAAAAAAGCATAGGTGATCTAGTGGCTATTCTATGAATAGCAATCAGAGCTTTATTTCGAGAGAGCATCCATGTAGTCTGGACACTCTCTTGCGCAAAAGCGCATCGCTTTTCCAATGCGCTTTTGTAGTGTGCACACGCTCTTGCACAAGAAGTATTTGTGGAAGATCTCTTCCTCAAAAAGCTTCTTGCAGAAGAAGCCTGCAGTGTAGATGTAGATTCAGGGTATTGCTATCTGTGGATGAGCGAATTTTCTCAGGGACCAGTCTGAGATAGTGGAATGAACTCCCATAAGGACTAAGGACCACTTCAAACCTCATCACTTTAACTAAGTGCAAGACACATTTCCTTGACATTTTCCTTCTCTAACACATAGCAACATATATATTTTTATGTTTATAGGGCTAGAACAGCCACATTCTGGGGGGAGGGGCAGTGTCACCAAGGACTCTGAGGTATGGTTGCATTGACTCAGGTCTTCACACTTCAGCCTGAACACCAGAACCCAAAATGACAGCACAGGTTAGAAAAGTCTTTAGGATTAAAATACAACATGGATGCTCCAGCCAAAGCTTGACTTCACTAACACGGGTTACCTGACTTGAGTCCAACTAACCTTGGACTTATATTGTAGAGTATACATACCCAAAGTAGAAGACTGCACAGTACATTATATTATGTATGAATCACTTTAGTGCACTCACTAACAAATTATAACAACCTCTGCACATAGTATGGTGACTAAACTACATAATTTAAGGACAGAAGCATATCTGCAGAAAGAAAAAGAAAGAAGAGCTTACATGACTAAAATATATTAGTACCTCTTTTCAGCTTCATTCTACAGATGGCTTCTTCTGCAGTACCATCCTGAAGCTGAAATTTAATAGTGGGTTGGAGGAAAGGGCCAGTTACTGAATCAAACACCGCTTCTGACAGGGCGTGGGTTTTCCTGAGACTTCCTAACTGCTGTCCAGGCTTACTCTGCTTAGCTTTCAAGTGTACAAAATTCACCATCCAAAGGGTTATAGTCATAGGAACATTCTGTTCCAAGGTGTCTGACACCCACTTATTAGATTTACTTTATATATTTGATTCCTCCAAGAAACCTGGTCTTTGTTATTAAACATTAGAGTCAGTAGACCTGAGAACTATTTCAGTCGTTGTTATGTATGACCTGGGAAATCATTCTGCCTCAGTTTTCCTACCTGTAACATGAGAAAATTATTTCCCTACCTCTCAAAGATGTGGAATATTCAACTATTAATGAAGTAAGTATTTTTTAAATCCTCAGAGGTTTATTATTTATTACTTCTTAAAAATATAGGGGGTTCTTACCATCACATCTGATAAATAACCCACAAAACCCCAAATTACATTCTCCTTGAACAATCAAATTGTATCTCAAAAGTTTGGATCCTGATGATGCAAGTTACTAAAACAAAATATTTACTGAAATGGAAGTTTTGATATCACAGAGTTATTTGTGCCATTTCTATTTTGATTTTCCCCAAGTCACTTGGTCTCTTCCTGTCAACAACCTTTGAAACTGGTTAATCATTTACATCCTGTAAAGCAAATATATAGTTCTGATTCACCAAGTTTCTATGAGAAACTTGCCCTTTTGATGGCAGCATTCATTCTGAAAAAGAAAAGATTGTGATATGTGCTCCTGCTCTGCAGAAGGAAATTATGATGGAAACTATCAAATGATATATTTGATCAATATATTCTTCATCTCAAACTCACTTGGGGATGCACTGGTCCCCAATAACTCATGTCAAGTTACAGCAGCTTCCTGCCTCAGGGAGCTTTTTGGTTGGGTTTCCAATGGCAAAATAAATAAATCTTGCACCATGATTTGTTTTTTAGCCATACCCTTTGTCAATAGTTTCCTACTTCATTAAAATGATCTTACACCATTAAAAAGGAAAATTGTCTAGAATAATTTCCTCTTGAAAGAAATGTGTGTCTAAATAAATACTGAAGCCTATTTCAATACGTGCTGAAGCCTGTTGAATGAAACACTCCATCTTTTCAATACTGTTGCTTTTTTGTGATTGCCTGGCATTAACTTCCACAAATAGTCTAGTAGCACCTTAAAGACTAACAAAACATGTAGATGGTATCATGAGCTTTCGTGGGCACAACCCACTTCTTCAGATGACCGGTCATCTGAAGAAGTGGGTTGTGCCCACAAAAGCTCATGATACCATCTACATGTTTTGTTAGTCTTTAAGGTGCTACTAGACTATTTGTTGAAGTTTTTCCTGTTACAGAGTTAACTCGGCAACCCCTCTGAAGTTTATTAACATCCATGCCCTTGACTTAGGCCATGTTCACAGAGTTTCAGACAGTCTAATATGCAAATAATGATCATCACTGAGTAAACTTTTAAGTATGGTCTAGTATTTGGTGAGAAATGGATAGTAAAGATGTGTAAGATTACAGATAGCTGTTATTAGATTAACCAAAAAAAACTCAATTAATTTTTTCCTAATGAATACCAAAAACATACACTGCTCTGGCAGAGCAAGTTTGCTATGATAATAGGTTCCTACGCGCACACAAGTTTTTCTTTTTAAATATTTCAGTCCTCCTGGTCTGTTGATAAAGTTTTCACACTCTGCCATTATATGGGAATTATTTAACTAACAGATCTGCAGAGCTCTGTGACAAATACTACCATCATTCATAAATGTTAGACCAAGTCTTCCTTATTCAACTTATTCAAGTAGTTCTATTGATTTCAGAGGAATTTTACATGAATCAGGGAAGCAAGATTTGTCCTGGATCACATTTAGTGCAATGGTGTGCTTATTCCCAGATCTAGAAATTAGCTCTACAAAATGCATAGCTGTCTTTTCCACAACTCCCGGTGAAATGTATTTGCAACAACTATAAGCTAATTCAGGACTGATTATAGGAAAACATCGTAAGATTCCAATGAAATGAACATTTTTGCATAATTATTTCTCTATAGAGTGACATGATGTAACTATCCCTCTAAAAATAGCAAAATCTGACTCAATGGGGAACAAATGTTATATTTCTGTTGCCTATTTAAACAAACCTTGTAAGAATTGAGAGAAATGTTCAGATTAAATGATTCTGAAGATCAGAGTTTGTCTTTCAACACTTCAAATTAGAGTGTTGAGGGTAAAGTATTTAAGCTAAATCTGTTAGTCTTCATGGTTCGTTCATTTCTAATATCTTCTCACAATTTGTGCAGTTCAGTTGCTGAATCTGCCATATTTTAAATAACATCCTAAACACTTATTTCTAGTGAATTTCACTTTGTATTTATTCTATTAGCATAGTCGTACTGTTTGTGTTCACAATCATGTACTTAAATGTTTAATTCTCCCTCTTTTCACCAAAAGTGTTCACTCAGTTTTCTGAAAAGTATGTGTCACCTAAATGACAGTGTTCTTTTTACAGTCCACAAACACAAATTTTATACTTTACCTCTATTTCTGACACTAATGGCTGGTTAGCTCTGGATGGCTGTTTGGTCCTAGGAGCCTTCAGTGGTCTCTTAGTTGGCAGAATACTTTGCTTTGGCAATATTTTACTAGTTGATACAACTGAATAAGATCTTGTTGGTATTTTCGTAAGCTTTCTAACACCATTTGGTCCATCCTTGTAGTTCATAGTCCCTAAAGTACTAAAATGGTTCCTGAACGGAGGATAAAATTTTCCAATACGGTAATTCACATTTTTTGGTGTAGTAGATGCTTTTGCTTCTGACAGTTGCCAATACTTGAGTTGTACATGCAGATTTGTCAAGCAACTGGTAGCAGTCTGATGAGTGCACAAGTTCAAGACTGTGTTTGCTGCTAGAGTTCTGAATGATGCCCTAGCATCATTGCTTAGTTGTAACACCAAATGCCTAGGGTTATGAAGGCCTTGGAACTCAGATATTTTCATTAAAACACTGGAACATCTAGCCAGGGATTCCAGCAGTTTTACTGTCATCTCTTCACTCTGCACGGCTAAAGAAAAAAAAAATCAACTCTTGGAAATAAATCCTATTACATTCAGTTGTTCTGTTGTATTTAAAGAAAAGCACTTATCAATACTTCTCTTGTATTCTACATAATAAAATACTGATGGTTATAAATACTTTACCCTCATATTTGATATATTTCTTGAATGAGGTCAAAATGCATTTCTTGACCAGCATCCTCAAAAG